AGAGAGAGAGAGAGAGAGAGAGAGAGAGAGAGAGAGAGAGAGAGAGAAAGATATTGGTTTAGTGAAACACTTGTATCTCAAGGTTGTAGAAATGGAATTCAGATGCTTTTCATGGAATTAATCTAAAGCAAGAGAGAGTTCCAAGCTTGGGCACCATGCATCATCATGGAGCCTTTCATAATGGAGGTTTGATCCATTGCATATTTCATTTCAGCTTCAATTTTTGCAGTTGTAGAAACTTCACATATGGCCAACAATGCTCCAGGCATTAGTTAGTACATCCATAAAACATGTGCTAAAATTGTCTAAATTAGATTATATATTTGAAAAGACTTATATATTAATATTTGATTATCAAGCTATAGGATTATATACATACATTATGATCAATGGTTTAAAATTAGTAATGGTTATTACTAATTAAACACAATAGTTAGTTGAAATATAATCTCTGATCTGACTATTGGCTGTATTAAGCGAGCTCCATATGTATGCATCCTACACAAGGAGAAGCATGCTATGCATATCACTGTGGCTCACATTTTGAGAAGGGTGCTATTTCATGAAATAAAGGTATCACTTTAGTTATCTGAGTCATAACAGCTACATGATCACTATGATTATGATTATTATAAAATATGCTTTTATTTTATTTGATAATTATTCATGAAGAAATGGAACTCCTACTTTTCTTCCATCACATTCTTCCTAAATAGGGAAAATAATTTTCCCTCTCTCACTGTACTTCAGAAAATGTGACTACATTTTCTTCCCAGAAAAATCAACCCTTTTCTTGGGCTTCCACATATTCTCTTAACAATGGCCTAGAGCTTCTGCCAGGCCTAAGGACATTCTTGACGTGGGTGTAGTAGGGGATGGGACAAGAATGAACATCTCTGAGTGCTGCTGCATGTGGGTGGTCCTGCCTCTTCCCCGGCTCCACCCTTCTCCAAAAGACTTGCCAAGGGCATTTTACAAAAGGGAAATATGTCTCCAGGGTGGCATTCCCTCTTTCAAAATGTGAGAAAACACATCGGCATAAAGAAGTTTTTCAGGACTGATGGAAGGTGTGAGGTGCAGGAAACAGTTCTTAACCTCTTAATGTGGTTCCCCAGAGACTGCTCTACAGTCTAGCTTTTAACCAAATTGACATGATAGTTTTGCGAAAAGATAATAGCATATATTCAGTCATTCATCAAGCATGTACTTAGTGACTAAGCACCAAAATATCACACAGGAGTTGAAAAACACTCATTCTGTTGAAGTAGTGGTGGGGGCTGAATTGTGTAATTGCTCCATAATGGCTACATATTTAAAATATATAATAAGACAGGGATACGGTAAAGGAAGTTCTAGGAATTTCTGGGTGAGGCAACCATGCAAGAAGGAACATGCTTGTATGCTTCCTGGAAAGCTAAGGAAGACCACAGTAACTTACATCTAAGGGAATATAATCTGAAAGATAAAGGAGGCCAGATAATGGTCAACGGACAAGGTCAATGGACAAGGTTAAGACATTAGGCACTGGACAAGATGAAGACCTCACTGGACCCCTTAAAACTATTCATAATTTTAAAAATAGTGCATTTTGGGGACCTCTTAAAACCCCTTGAGTAAAAAATAAATATAATTGCTTGCATCTTAGAAACATGAGTATAGTGGCTTTTAATGTTGGGCAGGAATGTGGCTAAAAAGTTCAGGAGTCTTGTGAAAGACAGGCCATATGGGATAGTGTGAGAATCATTCTACTGAGGGATAATACAACACTTCTCTCTTATAAGAAACAGAGAGTACAAGAAAGAAGAGAGGGTGGGAAGTGAAATAGGACTCAACAAAATCAAGTAGGTTCTGATCTGGGTTCGTAGGGAGAAAAGTTTTCATTATGCCCCTGTTCAGTTTGAGAACATACATGGATGGTCACTCAGGCTTCTATGAAGGATTTTTCTGGATTTTAAGGATGATGGATCTAGCAAGTTTCAGCTTAAGTGTTCATAACACAACGATAGGAAACAGTACAACTGCTTCTTGAACTTATAATGCAGACAGAATAACATGAGGTTCATAAAGAGTCCCCAGAGCTACAGGGCTTGAACTGAATATCCCAGGTTCATAACTTTCCTGCTGTTTACCTTTGAGCAAATAATTTCACATCTCTGAGCATCGTGTATTCATCAGAGAAGTCCAGGCAATATGGAATCCACTTTACAACAGTGCTATGAATATTGAGTAAATGAATACTATTTCAAAGCTGGTTCCAGCAAGAAAGAAAGTCAAATATTAACACTGAGAGATACTGAATGAGAGGACTTAGGACACACTGATGGGTGGTGTGAAAGGGAGTATAAGAAGCATTCTAGGCAACCCCAACATAGATCTGTGGAAAATGAACTGGAAGTGTATAAAAGGAACAGAGGCAGAGAAGAAGAGGAAGGCTTCAAGAGTGATTCATGGAGGACAATGAAGACAATCCATCCAAAGAATGTGTAACAGAGGCAAATGCCAGCTCATAATTCAATTAAAATTAAAATGTAGGAGTGTCTTTGCACATGGAAGTTCTGGTATTTTTATTGAAATGAGTATGTTTTCAGTAAAATAGCCATGGTTAATGGGATAAGAATAAATTGAAGACAATGATGTGAAAATATTTACATGGTATTTTTTTTTTCAGAAAGTTTGACAGTGTGAGAAAGAGGGAGGATGGAATTAAACAGCAAACCAGAAGACTGGGAAGTATTGAAAGAGGAATGTTAATACATGTTGTTTTTCTTTGAGGGATACATAATTATGCTTGTCAAAGCAAGAAGACTGGAAGCTTAAGAATACACAAAAAGACTTATTCAAGTACACCAGGTAGAGTCACCCAGTAGAAATAAGAATTTCCCTTGCATTCAATAACTTTAAAAAAGCCCTCAGGAGAAGTGAACTTCTATAGATTACCTAGCTCATTCCATCCCAGACAGTGGCTAGGGTCCTCCAGAGCCTGATCTCCAGAATGCTGTGATCATTGTTCTCCTACAATCTGTTGCCAATTTCAAGCCAGTTCCTACACTCCTTCTTCCTGTAAGCCTCCTGCTATGGGCTGTGCTGCCCAACACAGCAATGGTGGAACCGTAGACACTTCAATTTCATTAAGAATTGAGTTTCTCACTTGTACAACTGCATCTCAGATACAGATGTGGTTGTAATGTCTGAATTAGAGAGCAGAGCCATAGAACACTTTCTGTAACACGGAGAGACCCTTAAGACTGCATTGTCTCTGCTCTAAATCTCTGGTATTTATTGTACACGGAGAGTTCCCAGGCCTGCTCATGTCATCGCCCTGCTGACCTTGGACCTGAGAGTGATCTCCACTACTGGGCTTCCCCACTGTGCTCATGGCTCTTCATTAGTTTCCACCTTGAGGTCCATCTGTCTTTTCATCTTTTACAGCATCTCAGGTTACTGCTCTTCTTTCTGAATTTTTCTTCACCACCCTTGAAGAACTTGTTGAATACTTTCTTGTCCACTCACTTACGCGCTATTAAATCAAATTGCATCCCATAGTCCATTCATCGACACTCAAATTAAATCACCTTTTTGTTCTGAGATTGTTTTGTCAAACTACCATGTGATTCTCCCATCTTGAAGCAAAAGGTATCTGATGGAGTAGTTAGCCATGTGGACTGTGATTCAGATACATAAGCTGTAATGACAACAGATGTGTCTTGTGGGTTCAGTTTTTAAATTGAGGGAGCTTTGTTTATCACTTTGCATACTACTCTTCCATGGATATTCGTGAATTACATAACAGAAATTTGATTTTTTTCCCTTCCTTCTTTCCTTTCATTATCCCCTTCCCCCTTCCTTCCTTCCTTCCTTCCTTCCTTCCTTCCTTCCTTCCTTCCT